GTTCCGCATTTTAACCCCATATCCGTTCCGTTCCGTTCCGCATATCCGTTCCGCATCCGTTCCGTTCCGCATCCGCTTCCGCGTTTTAACCTAACCCTTTCCCAGTCGCGCTCCAACAGTCAGTTTGTTCCAAAGGATGAATGCATGTAGCATGTTTTAAGTAAAAAACTTCATCTCCAATGCCATATTCTATTTGAAAATTTATGTATAATATAGAAAATTTAATATGTTCACATTTGTTATAAGAAAAAACATAGTGATTCAAATAAATACAAAACTAAACATGTTATTACCTAATTTACAACTTAATTAAAAAGATTAAAAATTAAAAAGTATTAATAGCATTCATATATAAATAGTCCATTATAAAAGTATCTATAAATAAACCGGCTGCATTAGCATTCACATGTGTCTTAAACATGCATGGGAGCAAATACACCAGCAAGCTTGTATGTGTCGTGAATTGCTATATTTGGCTTGAATACAGAGACTTTCTAGTATTTAATTATATGTAATTAATTAATTATAGAGATACTGTTGGGTCTTGCCATTATAAGATTTAACATTTCTATAGCGCAAATTTACATGTGGATATGATCAGACGTAATATACACTTACCTAATTACTTACTTAGCCTAGACTATTTATCTTTACAACAATTGTGATATTAGTTTCTTAATTGTGTTTATCCTAACCAACCCTGTCAACTTTCCCTGTGGGAGAAAACCGAAGCACCCGGAGAAAACCCGCGACTTTCGGCAGAGAGTGACTAACTCTTTTCACACGAGTCCATGATGCATAGCGAGAATCGAACCCACGAACTCAGAGGTTAAACGCGCTTGCTCTGACGGCCGCGCCACTGAATGCACTGAAAAATACATGGATGTTTTCAGTACATATGGAATGTTAACATTTTATACGAAGCAGACAGCGCTACGCAGACTGCAGCAGAGTCAGAGATCGTGGGAGAAAGACTATAAGATATGACATTGCGTGGATCATCATTTAACAAGTCATTAAAACAGCGATGTACTGGCACTAATTAAATAAAAATTCTAGGTGGCAAGTCTACTTCAAATTTAGGATATCACAGTCACAGATACAAGTAAGATCACAAGTGTCCGACCAGGGGCGTAGGAAGCTTCTAAAAGTTGGGGGGGGGGGGGCTGGCAGGCTTTGAAGGGCACTTTCCGAATAAAAAAAGGCATCTAAAAATTTTTTCCGGGCAGACCGAAAAAATTTTTTCGGATATATCACATTTTCTCCTAAAAATGAAAAAAATTTTCCGGATATACCAAAAAATTTTCCGGATATATCTTATTTTTCCCGGAAATGAAAAAAAAGGCGCTCCTTAAGACATTTTTCACGCAAGAGAAGGGCACTTTGTTCCCGAAAAAAGGGCACTTGGCAAAACTTGGGGGGCCTGCCCCCCCCCCCCTCGGTTCCTACGCCCCTGTGTCCGACAATGACACTGTATGTAACTTATATAAAAATATGGAAATATAAATCCCACCTATACAGGTGACTGAGGGTCGTGCAGGGTGTGAGATACCTCGACAATAATTTTGAAAACGTATATATTAACGCCTGTTTCAGACGTCGAACTTTTCATGCGCCGAAGCAGATGCAACTCAGGCAGCAGTCAAACAAGATATTTATGTCATTTACATCAGATCGGAACATGAAAGGTTCAACATCTGAAACAAGCTTTACATGCACTGACGTCTCACTAGAGGAAAGGGCTCTGTTCAGTCTGTTGGTCAAAACGAAATCCTGAATGAAAAAAGCCTGCTGAGCAACAAAGAAATAATCACTATGGCCTAATAGTAATATAAATAGTAACATCAGCCATTTGTATCTGTCTATAAAACATGAACCATGTCCATAATTATAATCCAGACATGTAGTTATATAATCTATTAAATATCGAGCATTTGCTTAAATGCATGTACAATACTGCATGCAGTAATAACATATAAATTCAACTAAAACTTTGCAAATATACATTCCCAGTCGGAGTGTAAACCGTAAACGTAATACACCATGGAATGTTCAGGGTTAAATCAAGACGAAGTTTGTTCTTTGAGAACAAATGAGAACAAGGAAGACTCAAAACATCAAAATAAACATGACTTGTGGTATATGGCGTCTCTGGGCTACGACAATCGCTATGGCGTCAATGGGCCATGGGAGCATATTTTTTTATTATTTATAAATATTGCTAAGGCGTCAATGGGCCATGGAGTATGTTTTTTTATTATTTATAAATATTGCTGTGGCGTCAATGGGCTATGGAGTATGTTTTTTATTTTGTTTTTAATAAATGCAGTAGAACTAAAATAAAAGTAGAAACAAATAAAAGCAGAAATTAACAAAATAATTGAAAGAAAGAAAAATAAAAAGAAATTACTAAAATATAATTTAAAATAAAATAATAAAGAAATTTGTTTAAAAAATAAAAAAATACTTCAAAATATTTTTTTATTAAAAAAACTTGATAATTTCGTAAAAATTACTATGGCGTTAATGGGCCACCATAGAGGGCCGGTTGTTCAAAACTGGATTCGCGTTAATCCTGGATTAGAATAGTTTCTGAAGTCTGTCATCTCAAAACGTCAGAAACGAAAACTCCTATGATTCATTTCTGAAGATATATATATCTATAAGGTTATAAACAGGTTAATTAATCTAGGCCGGCTAACCGGTGTTCGAGCAACCGGCCCTAGCTGGTGACATGCCTCAGTCATCAAATCTCCTCGTCTGCGTAGCAGTCCACACATCGTCCTGATTTCACACGACCAACACAATGCAGGAAGATTGTCTACTATAGGGAGATCATGCAGTATAGACCCCAAGGTGAAATCATGTTGGAATCAATGGACAGGCTTGCACACAGGTTTTACTATACAAATTCAATGCGTCAGTTAAGGCATCACGCCTGAATATCTTAGATAGCAAACAATTAATCAAAGTGAATTTTTCAGTATTCAAAATCAGTTAGTGTCAGAGTGAAATTTGTCTCATTAAATGTGTGGTCGCACGAATGTTTGCGTAGTGGATATGCCCTAGAGTGAAGCGCGCCTGGGTACGAGGCTGATACAGTACACTAATGTACGCTACAACAATACAGCACTAAAAGAGAGTTCAGTTTTTTGTTAAAATTTATATAATAAAACATTTGTTAAAATTCATTTAGCTTCTAGCAAACACGCAGGTACACATGCAATCGTTTATCCAAATTGCAGCTGTGCCATGTAGGTTGTAGTCAATAAATAGATCATCTTCTGGATCGGTACTCATTGCATAAAAAATCAACAGCAGTTCTTCTATTAGCGCTGAGAATGTAAGCTTGCCTGGTCAGATCAATGTGATGATTAAGTCACGGTAAGCCATGATGGTTGCCTACATCACTTGCCACTGCTTCTATGACCTTGTGGCTTGTATGTCTGCAGTCAGTGTATAGACTAAATATCGAGATTTTGGGCATCTTGCTCCATAGAACCACAGAATAAGAAGGTACAGCAGAAGTGTAACTCATGCAAGTATTTGTCCGCGTTTTTACAAGCGATTCGTCATCAATCACGCCATCCTGGCTAGTACAACCGGCACTTTGTACCTACCAAAACCTGATAAAAACTTCCGGTTGTACTAGCCAGGATGGCGTGAGCGAGTTAAAATTTTCGTGGACGTAAAACAATAAGGGAACCGACTCGAGTTACACTTCTGCTGTACCTTCTTATTCTTGTGATAGAACTAACAATTGAAGGGTTTTTGTAGATGGAAATTATATACAATTTTAAACCTAACCAAGAGCAGTTGGGAAAATGCTCCCTTGCAGGAATCGAACCTGCGGCCGTGTAATTCCAGTGCAGCTCTAATCAAATGAGCTACAGAGTCCAGTTGTAGAGATCTAACCACAACTTCTTGTATATATAGTGATGGGTGATGCCAGTATAAGGTATGGGTAAATTTGATTAATATTTTGGACATTTTCATCTACAAAAACCCTGATCTAAACTTACAAAGAACCAAAATCTCGGTATATCTACCCATACCATAACAAATGGTTAAAATAACAATGGTTAAACCCACAATGTTAACAATGGTTTAACCCATTTCACATAAATAACGATATTGCATTCAGATTCCAGAACTAAGTTTTTCTGAATTCTCTGAAACGTTCTTAAATGTTTATAACTCAAGTTTTCCAATTAAGAAAAAAATTATTAAAAATATTGTTGATAAAAACAAAAGTCCCTGGATGACAAAAAGTATTTTGAAATCTGTGAGAACGAAAAATATAAGCTTTACAAGGCATACTTACTGAACAACAGTAAGAAAAATCAAAATTTATATAAAAAAATATAAAAACAAGCTTAATCACGTAATCAAAGCAGCAAAGAAAATGTACTATGAAGACTATATAGCAACTCATAAAATATAAACATGATGCTAAAATGATTTGGAAAACATTAAACAATATTCTGAACAGAAAAACAAAGAAGACAACTTTGCCGGAACAATTTATTGATAACATGTCATCTAGTAAAATAGATGACCCAAAGAAAATTGCAAACAAATTTAATGACTATTTTGTAAATATAGGACCAAATTTAGCCAAGAAAATCCGCAACACAAATACAACATTTGATAAATATCTTACAGAAAGCATCTCAAACAGCTTATTTTTGGAACCAATTATAGAATACGAAATAAGAAATGAAATAGAAAAACTAAATACAACTAAAAGTCCAGGCTATGATGCATGGTCTTAGTGCAAAAATAATAAAAATTGGGGCAAAAGAAATCTCCGAACTACTTACACAAATATTTAATCAAACGTTTTTAACTGGCAATATTCCTCAAGAGCTCAAAATTGCGTTGATTACACCATGGATAATAAAATAAATTATTTATTTTATTTAATTAATTAATAATTTTATTTTATTATCCATGGTTACACCCATTTATAAATCAAATGAAGACAATCGATTTGAAAACTACAGACCAATTTCTGTCATCACTTGTTTCGCAAAAATATTAGAAAAAATTATGTATATATATACGTCTCATTAAATTTATTGAAAAAATAATATTCTCTCAGAACATCAATACGGCTTTCGTAAAAATAGATCAACTGAACTCGCTATAATTGAGTTTATTGATAAAATACAAAAGCCATTGACAAAGGACAATATACAATTGGTATATTTCTTGACTTGTCAAAACCATTTGATACTTAATCACAGCATTCTGATTAATCAGAGGTGTGGCGCTAAAATGGTTTCAAAACTATTTAAGCGATAGAAAACAAATTGTATATAAAGTATAATGACGCTAAGTCTGCATGAAGCAATGTCAATAACTAGTGGTGTTCCTCAAGGCTCAATACTGGGGACACTTCTATTTTTTTATAGATATAAACGATATTCAGAACTGTTGCAATCTAGTCTCCGATATATTATTTGCAGATGACACAAATAATTTCTATAGTCATTCTTGCTTAAAAGAGTTAAACTTAATCATGCAAGATGAAATAAATAAAATATAGCTGACTGGATTGGAAGCAATAAGCTATCATTGAATACAGCTAAAACAAAACTTATCTTGTTCAGATGAGTAGATCATCAAACAAAAAGATTAAACATGACATCACAATTTCGATAAATGAACAACCAATAAAACAAGTTAGAAACACAACATTCCTAGGTGTTATTATTGATGCACACTTAACTAATTGGAATGATCATATTGATTCAATTACGAAAAAAGTTATAAAATCGGCGGGAATAACATCTAAAATTTGACACTTTACAAATTTAAACACACTAAAACTGGTCTATTACGCTTTATAGTTTATCCTTATTTGATATATACGGAAACTTAATTTGGGGAAATACCTATATAAAACACGGCTAGTAGGTCTGTAAGATTAATGATGTTCAAGTCATATCACGAGCACTCTGAGCCACTTTTTACTAAACTAAACATTCTAACACTTAAAACATTAATGATTTTTTGACTAGTTTATTTATGTTTCGATACCATTTCATGAATAATTTACCAAAATACTTTACCAGCTGCTTAATACAAGAAACACTTCCAAACTACATAAAATGACATTCTCAAGAACGAACTATGTCAAACACTCGCTTCACAACAAAGGTGTACACGTCTGGAATGAGTTAAAGCTCGATTTGAAAAGTATAAAGTCTTATAGTATGTTCAAGGAAAAATCAAAAAATTATTTCTTGCAGTTGCATTCGGAAAATAGGCCATATTTGCATAAGACATATCTGTCCTCTCAAGAAAAATCTTCTGTCATTGTATATATCTTCTTTTCTTATCTTCTTTTCTATCATAAACTATAGTTTTACTTCCGATAATCAATGTAAATATTATTATTGTAAATTTCTAAACTAGGGGTCTTAAAACAAAATCTTTTATATGGTTTCTAGTGGACCTCTATAGATCCATTGCACTGACGTCACAAATCCTTATAGAGTGTCCTCCAGATGCTCCCTAACAAAATCTGTTTGCCGTACAACAACCACATACAGCGCAAAAATTAACCATTTTAATACAAAATTATTATAAAGTTTTACAAAATTTGCTTTGTTTACAAAAGTTATATTATGCATAGATTGCTAATTTGTCCTCCAGATGCATCATCACCGGCGCTGTGACGTCATGTGCAATGGGTCTATACTATAGCCCTTGTAATTTAATGTTGCATGACTTGCTATATTTTATTCTTTTCTTAATGTATGTATGGGCAAACTTTAAATAAATAAATAATAAATACCTTATACTGGCATCACCCACTATATTACGTCAAGAACTTGCATGTGGTTATAGAGCTTGATGACTGGCCCATTTCCACTCAAGAAAAATTTCCACGGACAAAAAATGCCCCGAAAATATCATTGTTAAAAGTTTTCAACTCGGCCAATCATATTTTACAAAATTTTCTTTCTGCGGAAAATGTTCCTGAGTGGAAATGAGTCTTTACTTATAGGGCGCTGCACCGGAATCGCAGGGCTGCAGGTTCGATTCCTACCAGAGGGCCTGTAGGAAATAACCGCTTAATTCTGCTCGAAATGTGTGTATATACTAATTCTATAGTGTTCGAACAACAAGTATAGCAAAAGGTCAAGGACAAGGTCTTCTCATAGATATAGAAATCCAATATAATGATTACTGTGAGTATTATATTTAGCATAGTACCATAAATTAGCTCAGTTCATGATGCTTAAATTAATGCTATATACCCAAGAATTATATATGCCCAAGTTTGTTTAGCGTATACCATTGGCACCGTTGGTGAGGTGGCCGCGGTAGGGAATTAATACATTTCTTTCTTTGTCTCATGCATGTCTCTATTTTTACTGTTTTTTACTGCAGTCTATTCTTACTGTTAAAACCAAGACCAGGGGAGACCTCCGGAAATTACTGCTTAGTAAGAAAATAGAGTTAAAACGGTGACTAAAACTACTTTAGTCTTTAACTGGCAAATTTCAAATAAAAATTTAGCATATGGATGAATATATCAACCAATTTATTACCTTGAAAATAAGAACATTTATCAACATAGAATATTATGAAATTCGTAAGGACTATATGTCTATATGTCGGTAAGTGCACAAATTATATCACAACATTACAGTTGGCTACGGAAAACCTATGGGAAAACTAATATTTTCGGAGGACACACTTGCATGCCCTATGGCTATGGGGTTCCAATTTTTTTTAAAAAGATTGTTTACTTTGGTTAAAATGTGGTTTCCGTACCAACACATTTTGATCCATTAGAAAAATAATGGGCAGAAAACATGTTCCCAAGCCAAGTTGACGACAGAGGAGGTGAGGCAGGAAACGTCTAACTATACGCAAACGGTTTATCTCTTCTCGCCCAATACTTCAAAACTCTTTTTTGAACAAGCAGACTTGTCAAAGTTGTTCAATCGTTTTGTACAACCAGAAATTGGTTACAATTGTTTGGATATTGTACTAAAGATATATGCATGCATGTACAAAAATATATGCATGTACATAGACATAGTCATAGACATAGTTTGAACGAGAATAAGTGTCAATAACAATATTTTTTAACTATAAGATGTGAATAAATAAAGTAAAATTAACATGTGAATAACATACAGAAAATTGATGTTTGTGGACGTGAGATGTTAGACGTTGGGATAAATATGGTAAAAAAACCCTTATAAAATATTAAATATTTAACAGTGGCTTCAATTGAAGACTATAATATACACACATATAAAGACTGGTTTACACTATATCAAAGTTCTAAATTTTGATGGACTTCTAAATTAAAAAATAGTTGAGGGAACTGACTCATGTTTAACACTTAGTCATTTAATTCCCCTAAACATTTCTTACAAATCCTTCAAAACTTAGAATTTACCTATGCAAAATTCCTACTGTAATCACAGAAACTTTGATATAGTGAAAAATAACTGTATAACAACAGTTCGTGAAAATTCTAGTATTGCAGAAATAACAACTGGTGGTGACCCTAGCACCCCCAGAATATACTATGTAAACTTTAGAGCGGGAAGCTTAATATTTTAATCTAATTATTACAAAGTCATTTTATTTCTCTGATTTCCACACTAAGCACGCACGCGTTTATACACGCCAAGTTGTGCGCCACACACGAGTTGAACTCTGTTGAAAGTGCCCCGCATCATGCCATGGCTATACATAAAAAAGGTTTTACCAAAACACATTAACATCAATTAAGATTACTTAATTGTGACAAATTGAATATTATAAGTTAAATTTGCCGACTGTTTGTTCTATATCTATAATCATTTATAGCTAAGATAAAAATCTGAACAAATGCTGTTGGGGAAAGGAGCTTCAACTCACAG